CAGACGAAAACTCGTGATGAATGACTTTTTTACTTTTTGGTCTCAAAATAAACAAAACGCCCGTGAGTCTCACTCATTTGTCCAGCGGCTACTAGCGATCGCGGGATGTCTATTTCTTCCAAACCTCTATCTTTCCGCCATATAGTGCCTAAACGGATGGTGAATAGTTTTCGAGATATTTCGATTGCTCAATTTGCCCCTATGCTCAACTAGCCCCGCCCTACCCTATCATACACATATTAATAAGAATAAACTAGTGGTGTATGGCATCGTGCTTTAAGACAAATTGCTGGAACTTCCCGTGCCGTAACGAAATTGTCAAAGAATATTAAATGTTTTTTAATAGATTATTATAAATAAATAATGTAACAGTGTCTTATATAATTCTTATATTTATAAGAATTATATAAACTGAATTTCAAAGCTGAAATTATTTGTTTAAAGTATTAGAACTTTAGTCAGAGTTACAATTGAAATCTGAATTATTTTCAATATACAAAAAAAATTTTTTTTGAAAAAAAATATTTGAAACAATTATTTCGTTAAAACAAGCAGAAATTTTTTTGAATCATTCAAATCGGACGCTTAGTGCTCTCAAAAACTGCCATTTCTGCACATTTAGTTCTGTATCTAGAAAACGGCTGGACCTGCCTTTGCCAGAATCTAATCACCACTTCTCGTCATTTCGAATTGAATGTTTTTTAGATCATTCAAATCGCATGCTCCGTTCTCTCAAAAACTCGATTTGTATTTTCTGCACTCTTTGCTCCGTATCTCCATAACGGCTGGACCTGCCTTTGTCAAAAACTAATCAGCACATTTTTCTATCAATATGAATCGAATGTTTTTTGAACCATTCAAATCGGTTGATCTGTGCGCCCGTAAACGTGGACGAAAAATGGGGACATACAGAACACACACACGCATCCATTTTTTCTGAGGTATGCCAAAATGTTCAGAAACCTTCAAAATGTGGAGAAATGCAAACATTTTCATTTTCGATTTTCGAACCATTACTAAAACTACCCTACGGGAAGTTAGTGATAGTCTATCCGAAGGCAGGTTTATGGTCTGAGAGCACCACTGATTGATAATTTTCTTTCCCTCCCTTGTTTATTATTTCTCTTGCCATTTTATTATCATTGAAGACTTTTTAGCTTCGTTTTTCAGTTTCCTGTAATTTTTTTTCTGACGCAAGTCACCAAAAATTTGAATTCTTTTAGTCCTTTTATTTTACCTTCGAGGACGTCGTATAGAAGGCACTCTTCTCAGAATGGCTCCGACCCAGTTTCCTTCATTTTGAAGATCGTGCCCAGTAGAGTTTTTCTTCGCCCACTCTTCTCAGTACTTCTCCATTGGCTATTGGTTATCTTATTTCCAAGACTTCGTATTGTCTTCTTTTTTATTATATTTTATCAAAATTATCTTTGTCATGCATTATCTTATGAGAAAAGATAAATTCAAGGCCCAGGGTTACACCCCAGTTCTAGAACTCGAAGTTGACGCAACATAGATGCCGCTACTGTAACAACTGCGCAACTATATTTCTTATTGATCGCCCAGGTTGCATATACAACTGTCTCTATCGCCGTCAAACGGTACCGAATATTATTCGCTCAGCTTTTCTTTAAATAAATTGAATTGCTGAATTTGATTTTTCATTGTTTGACTTGATAAAAATAACGCAGTTTTGAGAGCATACGGGGGTGATCTTTTGAAGTCGGTGTGACAAGCGTTAATCTGGTTGACATAAGGACGACCCAGTTATTGTGTGCAAATTCCAAAACAGTACAATTTGTTTTGCAGATATTTAGTGTGTGTACTTCTGAAAAGAGAAAAATGAGTAAGTCATCTAAAATTATATTTATGTTGTCTAAGGACATTGAAATATTCAAACTTAATTGTTGTCGAAATAATTAGTTTATTATATTTTATATAGTTGAATAGTAATATTGCATTCGATATTTTCCTATTTTTAAGATTGAAATCTTTCGCAAACAATCCGTAGCATTTAACTTTTATAATCTCATTTTCTGGAACCGATTTGTTGATATTGTTTAAAAGCCGAAGTTGATGTGGCTGCTTTCCAGAATTGTTTTTAAGTGTATATATGTCGAGTAACCATCATAAGAATATAGTACTTCTAATAAATTAAATGATGTATCAGTCAATCTCCTAAAAATCTGTAAAATCTCCATTTTATTTTATGTGCTTTCGATGAGTAAATTTAAAAATGTTCAATTTCTGTATTTTGATATTTCTACTATCTTGTCACAGAAAAACTTTCTAAGGTATTCAGATATTGTTTATTTAAATTGGCGACGTGCAAAATCAAATTATCTAGTCCAATCTTCGTGACCTGGTGCAAAATAAACCCTCGTTCTTTATATGCAGCGATGACCTAATTTTATGAGAGCCGACGTGCATCTGTGTCTTAATGTTTCTATGCTTATAAAAAGTAGAACGATATATATATATATATATATATATATATATATATATATTTCAGGGCAATTTATCTAATAACATTTTCAGAAATTTATATAATCTTTATTTCCATACGTTTCAGCATATTACCTTATGTCGAATGTAAATTGGAATGTTCCCAATTAACTAATGATAATAATATACATAATTCACAATAACACTACTACACTATTTTTTGTCATTTTAAATAAAAAAATAATTTTATTCAATCTAATGGTATAAATTCAATCTATAAATATATTTTTTCATTTAAAGTTACAAGAAATAGTGAATTAGCGTTATTGTGAATTATTATTATCATTAATTCATTTGGAACATTTTAAATTACATTCTACTGAACATATTTTCATTTTGCAAATTTCTGCAATTGTTATTTGATGTATTGTCTTAAAGTTTTTGAAATGTTTCAACATAAAATTTATTATAAATTATTTCACCCTATATATATATATATATACATATATATATATATATAGGCTGTCTCATGTATATTCTTTAAACATGAACTTAGTATTGACCTTAACTATCCTGAAAAAATTATCTCACGTTGTTCCGAAATTGATGGGCCAATTCTGTCGCATAACAGACCAATGTTATGGCAAGGCCATGTTATGGTTCAACTTTCATACATTTTATGCTACTGAATCATACTGAATATTGTCAAAATGTCATGTATTTGCTTTGCATTCAGGCAGTTTTACTATAAACTGCAACGTCACTTGTAGGATATGAAGCTGGGTCAGAAAGACCCTCTTATCTGAGATGGTTTTTTTGACATTTGTGCAGTTTCTAGTTAGGTTTTCTATTTGTAAATCTAAGAAAAACGCCTGACTGCACAGCAACCACATATCTTTTGTCAATATTGTGTATGGAAAGTTCTTCATAACATAGCCTCGCCATAACATTAGTCTGTTGGTCGGCAGAATCGATCCATGAGCTTTTAAATGCAACCTAGAGCTTTTGTGAAATTATGACAATATGTCGGTTATTGGGGTTAATTTGTATTAAAATTATTCGTTTAAACTTTGGAACCGTAACCGTTTATAACATTTTTAGGATCTCACTTATAAACAATAAAAATTGTTCCAAGTTAAGTTGCAAGAATTAAGATTTCTTGCCGAATTATAAATTTAAAAGTTTTAAAATTGGTCGACTTTGAGAGGCCCTCTTTTAAAAAAATTATACTAAAGTATGTCAGCACGTTTCACCAAAATTTAGCGCATTTATTCCGGATTCTAAAATGGTAAAATACTTGATAATTTTATTATTGAAAAATGTCGAGTAAAATATAAAAACCTGAAAATAACACGATAACGGCCAACATTCATTTCACTCACATTCATTTCAAATGTTTCTCTCTAGCACATTGAAGCTTGTGAGTATAACAAACCTATGAACTGATGTGAGTAAAATGAACTAGGAAAAATCACTTTTTGGTTTTTATTTTTCTACTTGAAATTTTTTTTACTAATTAACTTCCCGTAGGGTAAGTTATAGTAATCGCAAAAAAATCGAAAATGAAAATTTTTATATATCTTTACGTTTCAGAGGTTTCTGAATATTTCGGCATACCTTAGAAAAAATGGATATATGTGTGTGTGTGTGTGTGTGTGTGTGCGTGTATGTATGTGTGTGCGGATACAAATTTTCGTTGACGATTTCGGGAACACGGATGAAGCAATTTGAATAATTTAAAAAACATTCGATTCGTATTTATAAGGAGACGTGCTGATTAGTTTTTGGCGGAGGTAGGTCTAGCCGTTCCGAAGATATGGGGTAAAAAGTGCCAAAAACGGTACCTCAGTTTTTAAGAGAACGGAGTGTCCGATTTTTATAATTCAAAAAACATTTTACTTGTATTGACAAGATGAAGAATTGATTGATTTTCATAAAAGCAAGTCTAGCGGTTTCGGAGATCTAACGAAAAAAGTAAAAAAATGCCATTTGGCGGTCAAAAATGATTATTAGACATATGCACATCAAATTATCAGATATTTTATAGAGATTTTAACAATAAGTATAAATTTTGTTTACATTCCTATGGGTTCCGTACCAATGTTTACCCGTTAGATAGCGACGCGGCGCTTACGCGCTTTATATTTTGTCTCTATGCAGTTAAAGCAGTACGATTGTTTTGAAAAAACGTTCAGGTCTTCCAAAATATGTCAAAATAAAGAAAAAAATTTTTTTTCAATTTTTTTTTTTTTTCAAAAAAAAGAAATTTTTTGTCAAATTTATAGTTTCTCAAAAATCTAATTTTTTCGAAGTAATTTTTTTTTCAAAAATGTTAATCGTTTTTAAAAAAAATAATAATTTTTGGTACGGGAAGTTCCAGCAATTTGCCTTAAGGCACGATGCCCTAATTGCCTTAAGACAGAATTCCACTTACAGCTAGTTTAAATTAGATCATGTTCGCTTTTAATACATAATTCTTGAGCCGTGTGGGAGCTAACACGCGTTTTAAAAATGCCGTTTTGTATGAATTAAATTAAAATGAAACATTTGAATTTTAGACGAGCACACGAGCCGCATCGTCGGCGCACGATGAGATCTACATCGATGACGAGTCGGCCCTGGAAGGCAGTGGCGGCGGCAGAGGCGAAATCCGCGACGACCTCGAGAGCTCCGGCAGCGGCTACGGGCCCTTAGACAACGACGACGACGAGGACAACGCGCTAGCGCGATCCAACTCGGCCGGAACGCCCTACAAAGGCGGTACTGTCGATCACGACCTAGGATTGCCATCAGGTTCGGGGCCCATTATTGTGCCCGCCGATAACGACGACGATAGTAGTACTGATAGTGATGATGATGATCTTTATAGTGAGTTTTGCGCATGGCTTTGTCATATTTTTTATTTCTATACTTTTATTAATTGTATTTCATTTTTATTTCTTTTATTTTGTACGTTCAGATGAGTGTTTTCGATTTCAAAAAAATCGTTCCTACAAGCAACATGTCTCATATGTTGAAGGAAAAATATAGGAAATTGACCTATAAATACTCTGACTATGCGTAACATTACTGGTCTTACGAATATGATTTCGATAAATCATGTACGTCCCAGTTGATTAGGAATCTTCGGCCTATACCATAGATAAACAAGTATAACATGGCTATACCGACGTTTAATTAGGATTGGGATTTTTCTCTTATAATATTGTTGGTGCGATTATATTAATATTACGTGTGTACGGTCTTGTATAATAATTAATCTTTTCTGTTTTATTGGTCCATAAATCAATCAAAATCACTTAATTTATGTTAAGGGGCACAACTAGTGTAACCGCCTAAAAAAAGGTGATATTTGGGAATTTATATTAAAAAAACTACCTTATCAATCATTTCAAAATTTTAGGAATATATTTATACTTGTTTTAAGAATACATAGCAAAATTTTTGAAGAAAAAAATTAAATATCTTTCAAGTTATCATCGATCTCCAACGGCGCGACAAAAAAAGGCCCTTAACTGCTGCAGTGATTCCGGCCTTCTACGTAGATGAAATAAAAAAAAAAATAATTCTTGTTAAACTAGATAATATTGTCTGTAAAATGAACTACGATGAAAAAAGTAAATCAAAAATTGACAAAATGGCGGCGTTTTAAAAAAAAGTCGAATTTTACCCAAAATTTTGGTCGTTTTTCGACTGCCAAAATTCGATTTTTGATCCGATCAAAAAATCGATAGTTTATTTTACGGAGAACTATATAAAGAACATGTAGAAAAAAGTTGATAGTGATCGGATCATTCGTTTTTGAGTAATCACTGCAGCAAATTCGGAAAATGCTGTTTCGAGAAAAACGCGTTTAAAGATAAAATGATCGTTGTACTATATACTATATATATACTTTTTAAATGGCTGTAACTCAAAAACTATTTGAGATATCGATTTGAACTTTTTATATATTATTTTTAAAGGTGTAATCTACCGAAATATGAAAAAAACAAAAATCGATTTTTTTAAAATTTCGCACTAGTTGTGCCCCTTAATAAGATATTTTATTTAATAATAGCTATGACAGATATTTTATATCTTCGCAATCTTAACATCGGTTTGGATAACTAAACAAAATTAGATAGAAAGGACAGATTTCTAACAAGTAACTATTTTTCTAAACTGATTTTAGTGTCAGTGTAACGAGAGTGAAATATATATTCTTCTTTTGAATTGATATTGTCATTGATTATTTCATTGCATTCAGGAATATAATTTGAATTAAGAGTACACCAAATAATTACTCTAGATTTTGTCAAAACTCTATTACATACTCAAAAAATTTTCATAATCTATAGCGCTGGAATACTAGAACAAATTTCTTTTTTCATTAAAAATATTTCAATATTTATAATTTTATATATATTAAACGGTTTCAATGTTGCAGTCAATTTTTCACTTTTAGCTTCACAACATTATTACAGACTAAACGTGTAGGAATTTGCTTATAATTATTATATCTGGGTTAGTTATTTAATTCCTTGTTTTTCTTAACTCTTCTACATTTTTTCGGTTTTCTTTGCCGTTTAACATATAAAACATATCTAGTATAAAACTTTCGAACTATAGCCCAAATTTACTTCTAGTATGCAGTTAGCAACAAGTGTGAGTAGATACATTTGTGTAATTATTTTAATAAAATAAACTCTTGTTTACCTTGGATTCTAATTAATCGATAGATTCAGAATTTAAATTATATTCATTTTAAAAGGTAATCACATTATTTATAACTTATCATGGTCTGTGATATTTTTGATTTTTATTATGATCTTTATGATCCAAAAGCGCTCTATTTTAAATATTCCGTCTGACCTACCCAAATGCATTTGCTTTTTTGGTCTACATTTGGAAGCAACTAAGGTATCGAGATAAATATTTATTTTACATTTTATTTTAAACAAATTGATTTTGTATTTTGATCATGATATTAAGTTGCATGGGTTTTGTAAATTAGTTTTTGTCATTGTAAAATCGTTATCATAATTTACTTTCGATTTGATTTTGCGATATTGCTTTTATTTTTTAATAAGTTTGTTTTTATTTATATGTATGGTGGTCACTGTGCAATTTTTAACAGTTTTCTGCACATTGCTCTGTCACCTAGCACAATACTCGTTGAAGTCAAGTATTAAATAATTATAATTTTATTGTATGCAGTAACTACTACAATATTTTTTATATATGATATATGTTAGTTTTGCTTGTCAAATTGATTCACTCTATAAAATAAGAATTCAATTATATAAAATGTATATTTTATTATGTATACATTACATATTTTCATTGTTGTTGATACAGATTTTCATAATTATGGTGGTTAATCGATATTGCAAGTGAAAGGAAATTATTTTTGGAAATAGTTTTTTTTAATACGGGGAAATTTTATTATATAATTACATGTTTCAATTCCTCAGTCCTCAATAAGACAATTGAAGACCAGATACATAATTTAGAAAATGGCATTTTATGTGCATGTGGCGGATTGGAATGAACATGCTTTTTATCGAACAGTTAAATAATTACTTGAAATTTTGAAAGGATGTTAATTTATACGAGAATTGTGTCTCGGTATTACCTTTTGGCTGTTTTTGCAGAGCTGTTTAATAATAACGTCATTGATCTTGATTTACTAAAATAAAATATCATAACTGATGACTCAGAACTTATGGGTGCATGGTAAAGTCGTCAAAACTGAAACCAAAGCCCAATCTACAATTCTTTGTTCTTGTTATTTTTTATGTTTTGGTGCTGAAGAAAGTACATCTAATGGAAGTAATGAATACATGTATACTAAAATTTAACCAAGTTATTATGCATGTTAGTTCCCTGTTTTATGATGTTTCTTGTGATAGATACAGATATAATACCCAGGAACAATAAGTGTTGGGCGAGATAATTAATGGTTGATAATTTTATTTTTTGTGTCAGGATATTAACTTATCGTTAGGATGATGTGAAAGTAATTGCCAACATCTCACATAAATGAAAATGCAACTTACTGCAAATGCATTTATCTGTTATCATGGTTACGTAATTAAATTATGTATTTCTATAATTATATGAGAAGTAAAAGTTTTATTACCTTAAATATTACCAAATATTTTAGATGCATATATATAATATAAATTGATAACGATATATCTAAAATACGCTACATACTGTGGTTCTAAATACATGAAATTAATATCCATATTTTCGCATTACAGTTAAAAACGAGGACATTGAACCGACTCTTACTAAGGAAAACGTTAAAGGAACAAACAGTCAATTGCCTACAACTCACGACAATAACGAGATCGAACTGATCGAATCTGGTTCTGCGAACACTGGCGTGGGGTCGAACCCCAGTGCGACAGATAACGACAACGTCCGCCAAAACGGGAACGAGGTGTTCGTCATGGACCCCAAACAGGTCGACCCCTCGGCCAGCTTCTTCGCCCAACCTGGCATATTGGCTGGTAAGGCTCTATTCATTGTTCTGGCACTTCAGTGCTGCTGCTACGTGAAATCATTAGGGTCATAAATTTCAAATATATGCTGTAATAAGTTTCCAGCTAAATGACTATAATTGTGATCAGCCGATCACAACTGTTTTCCTTTCATTTTGAAATTAATATTTGTTCTCAGCTACATACATATTTATATCACAAATCTATAGAGATTTTATTTGTAAACATGTTTAAACAATATAATATATTAATTTTATTTTAAACATATTGCCCACAGATAATAATATTTTATCTATGGAAATATTGCTATATCTCTTAAATCATATAACTGATGTTATAAGGTAATTGTCTAGTATTTTAGCTCAATATTTGATACATAGCATGTAACAATGATTCGGTCCAGCTACAAAATGTTCTTAGCATTAAAATTATTTTTATTTAATCCTTTCGCTATGGGTGTGCTTTTCTCAAAAGTCGCTGCTGTACGGTGACAGCGTGCCACTCAGTCGCACTACTGAACGGACAGGCACAACGATTAATTTTAACATATTTCTATCATAAACAATGAAACATGAAAAAATTACGCTTATAATGAACTAGAAATTTCAATAAGAAACTAGAATTCTCGATACTTCAACTCGTAGTGATAAATCTTGAAGCAAAGGCAAACATAACATGTCGTCCAGGGACGACATCCGTACACACAGCACATCACGCGGATGTCATCCGTGGTCAGCATCTGTAGTGAAAGGGTTAATTCTTTATAGCATATTTCCATTAATTTATAAATTAAACTATAAAACTTCATATTTCTAATGTGAATAAATTGAAAACTTTACTACTTCTTTCATGCTATAGACTTCACACAAATTTTTTTTCTCAATTTTTTTTAAATTGTTTGTGATTCAGGATTACATATTTCTACTTATATATTCAACTGCAATAAAAATAATCATTTAGCAATCATTTAGTAAAAATAATCATGCAGTAAGCAAATAGATTTTTTGAAGTTGTATAATATGCTTGTTATAACTTGGGTGATCCTCTGATATTAACATTTTTATTCTGTTTGTTCGCAGCCGTGATAGGTGGAGCCGTAGTCGGTCTGTTATGCGCGATACTGGTAGTCATGTTCATAGTATACAGAATGCGTAAGAAAGACGAAGGCTCATATGCCTTAGAGGAGCCCAAACGCTCACCAGCCAGCAACACATACGCTAAGAATTCTAATAACCGTGAGTTTTATGCCTGAGAGGCTGTGCTATCCGTTATCGGGGATTCTCAGTTGACATCCACTATCAATACTTTTGTACCAGCCTAATATCTCAATTATGCACTTATTGACAAAGAATCTGTGATCAGGAATCATGCACAGAACTACATGATATTGTGCTTTGCAGTACTTAGCAAAGGACTTGAAGTTTGACAATTGGGCACAAATGTTTTTGTATGCATTTCATAATTGTTTAATGAAACAGTAACTATATTATATGTCATGAAATATTATTTAGCGACTGGTAGATTTGATATCGTGTCAGAATCACTCAAGTCTTTGAATAAGTAAAAATGCTGCTAGCAAATGCTGTTTACTGATATAAGTTTTATTTGAACTATTATTTATTTGTTGTTAAATTCAACTCTATATAATATTCTGTATAGGTTAAGAGTCCTAGTGGCTTATTAATATAAGATGGTACCTATGGTTAAAATGATATTTTGAATTTAGAACAGAACAAAAATAATTACAAAGCATTTTGAGTAATAATTGTACATTATTTGCGTAACTCTGTCAATAATATTATGTTTAAAAATATTTATTTATTAAATTGTTTTTCCCATGTTTTGTCATACATAGTAAATCTCGTCACTTTAGTTAAGTATTATGAATATTACATATAGTATAGCATAATAAGTTTTTTATAGTTATAATGCTAAAGAGTTAAAGAATATGCTAATTAAGAAAATCTATTGATACGAAAGTAATTTATTTTTCTTAATAATTGAAATCATTTATAATTGCGTTGTATTATTTCGGCGGGGTTCTGAACATCACAATGCTTATCTAAAATGGTCTAGTATGAACTCCATTTCATAATATTATTTTATTATGGTAAATCAATTTATTTCTTATATATTTTTATAACACATGCCATCAATAACGTAATAATGTAAATATTTATTTTAAACTTAGTCTCAAATAGATTTATATAAATATATCACATATTCATATAATAGTTTCTCATAATTTTAGTAGTTGTGTGAATGATAAATGTCATGTATTTTGATTGTGTTTGATATAAAAAGTTTATGTGTTTTAGACTATGACATGTTTTTTATCTTTATTTATCTACATAAAACATTGGCAAGTAAAAATTACTAAAGTTTTATACGACCATAAAGATTTAAAATGAATTACATTTGAATATTAACTTCAACTGGACTAAAAGCATGTCATCACTTATTATAATACATAATTTCATGTTTCTTTAAATAATATTTTATCATTTAATTTATCTTTTTTTATATACATATGTATATACATATATATATATATATATATATATATATATATATAATCAAAATCATTATTTTTAAATTTATCATTTTATAATTTATTTATTGTATTAAACAGAGATATATGAAATTAATTCATTAAAATTAAGATGTCATAGTAATAATCATCATTATATCTGTATGTGTGTGTATACATATATCTATTATGTATATATATATATATATATATATATATATATATATATAAATATATAGTAAAATATACATACATATAATTATTTTCTTTGTTAAGTCCTGTGTATGAAACTTTTATGTGTAAAGATCTGTAAATAATAAAGAATTAAAATACACACTTCTCTTATTTTATTCATTACTACAATAATAAAATATTACCACTAAACATATTATACTTCCTTATCTATGACATGATTCGTTATTGTTTATTTTTTAAATTTAAGTTTCAAATAACCAATAAACAGGGCACAGCTAAAAATACCTGAAGATTTCGATCATATATATACAATACACATAGGATATGAAAAATAGAAACAACAGTTTATATATAAATTATTAACAATTATGCATTACCAATATGTAAATTACTAACAAATTAAATTATTAACAAATCAGCAATGTATTACATGGTGAATGCAATAAACATGATTCGTTTACAGCAAAATTATGATTGTAATATTATCTGAACTGCATGAAGGTGTTGCATTATGGACATTGTCCAGTATGGTAATCTCAAGTATTACAAATTATTTATTTACATGAAACTATAAAACAGACAATTATTTTTACTTTTGTGATAAACTGTGCACTGTGTGAGAAAATAGTCACAAAAATTGCATTAGCTTGTGCAACTTTGGCCCAACATTTTCGAATCTAAATTGTAAGTTAAGGGGTTGAATAGATCATTTTGTGTGAAAAGATTTATAGTGAAATTTTGTGTAAAATTACTTTGAAATACATTTGAAAAAAAATGGATTGCGTTGTGTGCTGAGATTTGATGGTTATATTTTGCTTAGTTAGATTTCATTTGGTTTCCATATCAAAAAATGTTTATGTTGATTTTTATTTAATATTCTGTTTTTATCAAGTTTTTATAATTTTTGTAATATTCTAGTAAATTATATATTCAAACTACTTTTCACAGGCCTATAACAATATTTAAGAAAATTTGCGTTTATTATACTTTGAATATGTATATTTTTATACATAAAAAATAATCTCTTTCACTAGTTCGTATTTGGAAAATCCGTTAAGTATATTTTGCGAAGACATAAGCAAAAAATGTTTTGTTTAACGATTTGACCAATTATGCAATAATTGAAATTATCTCTTTTCTGCTTACTGAAATTTTATGTTTCTGATTATTTAAAGAATATTGTGTATATGCAAACCAAAACTATATATTTAGTATAAAAATATTCAAGCATGCTCAAAAATTTATTGTTTGTTGTTTTATTAATTAACTTTCCGTAGGGTAATTATATTAATGGGCCGAAAATCGAAAATAAAAATATTTGCATATTTTCACGTTTTGAAAGTTTCTGAACATTTTGGCATACGTCAGAAAAAATGGATGTGTGTGTGTGTGTGTTTTGTATGTCCGCATTTTTTCATTCACGTTTTCGGGCGCATGGATGAGCCGATTTGCATGGTTCAAAAAACATTCGATTCCCGTGAGAGATGTACTGATTAGTTTTTGGCAAAGCAGGTCCAGCCGTTACGAAGATACGGAGCAAAAAGTGCAGAAAATACAAATCGAGTTTTTGAGAGAACGGAGTATCCGATTTGAATGATCTAAAAAACGCATTCAATTTGTAATGATTGGGAGAAAAGGTGATTAGTTTTTGGCAAAGGCAGGTCCAGCCATTTCGAAGATACAGAGCTAAATGTGCAAAAAATGGCAGTTTTTTGGAGAAAACTAAGTGTCCGATTTGAATGATTCAAAGAACTTTCTGCTTGTTTTAACAAATTAATGCTTTTGGAAAAACATGTTTTTGGTTCAATTTTTTAGTATATCGAAAATAATTCAGATTTTAATTTTAATTCTGACTAAAGTTCTAATATACTTTAAATAAATAATTTCAACTTTGCAATTCAGTTTATATAATTCTTATAAATATTCGACAATGTTACAGTATTTATAATAATCTATTTGAAAACATTTAATATTCCTCGAACATTTCGTTACGGTACGGAAAGTTCCAGCAATTTGCCTTAAGGCACGATGCCATACACAACTAGTTGAATTTGAATTATTAATTGATAACTAACGGAAGCCGACAAAAATAAAAATTGTGCAAGTAATATTCCACAATTGTAATCGAAATCTATGTGTTTTGTCGAATTCGGAAAAGAAAATATAGTAAAAGATAATTTCGTCGAAATGTATAAAATTGTTTTATTCAACCACCGGATAAGGAAACAATGTAAAAATTACTTACGAAGCTTAATAGAATCATATCATATCTGTTTGTTGAGCACCGTGCGCTGTGTGTATGGCGCTTTAGGGTTGCCATGCTACTATAACGCGACCCACGTTGTAATTCAGCTAACTTCGCGTCTAACATCGCACATTTATCGAACAACACTTTGGTGTTTCTTTTCTAAGTTCTTTTCCGGTGTGTTAGTGGAGCAAAGGTACAAGATTTTTTATATTTTCGTATCTTCTAAAATCTTTATCATCCTGTGCAGAATTTTATTAATTTTGAAGTGTGTAGTTATTACGAGTATAAATAAATCCACAATTAGTTTCAGTTAAAATGTATTTTGACTAATAGTGACTTAACCTCAATAAATATGTTACAAAAGTGATGTACTAATATTGTTTTACACGTTCAATTTAGATAATCCAAGATGGGTAAGGGAAATAATATGATCCCTAATGGGCACTTCCACAAAGATTGGCAACGTTTTGTGAAAACTTGGTTTAACCAGCCCGCAAGGAAAATTCGAAGACGTCAAAACAGGATTAAAAAAGCTCGTGCCTTGTTCCCTCGCCCTGCTGCTGGGCCCCTCAGACCAATTGTGCATTGCCCCACAGTGCGGTACCACACTAAGGTTCGAGCTGGCAGAGGTTTTACCCTCGAAGAAATCAGGGTAAGTTTCGACAAATGTTGACATGGAGTAATGGCACTTGCGATTCTATCGACGTTCAACTTTTCTGCACTTACTTGACTAATGCATATTACTGAACTAGTGTAATTTTGTAATATGGCACACTGTTCATTTAATTGCAATACGAAAGTGAACAATTCTGAATAGGCTGATTTATTTCATGGTGCCTTCAGAAAACTTAATATGTTGATAGTTTTATTACTTTACCTTCTGTAATCCCATATACTACTTTTACTGTCCACGAAGTGAGTGCACACACATACTTTTTGTTCTTTCAAATAATCACTAGGGTAGTCTGAAAACTTTCAGAACTTAACAGTTTTTATATTCAGTGAAACTGGTTTGTTGCGATTTTCTTTTTTAGCAACTGGTTGTGTGCAATTTTATTTTCAAGTAGAAATGTGTAGAAAGTTTTTAGACCACCCTTGTATTTTATTTTTTGTTGCATTTAGTGTTTAATTTCTGCTATGACAAAATTAATTTCAAATCTTTTTTCTTCCTTTTTATTTGCAATTATTTAAGTTTTGAGATATAGTTTCATGTTTTTTGTGGTAATGTAATGAAATTTATTATTGATCAATACATTTAAGATGTTTTAGTATATGTAAGTTTAACTTAATTTTTACTAATTTTATGCATTATTTTTTTGAACAATTTCAAGGGGTAAAACTATTGTTTACTTCTAGTTACATATTTGGTATTTAAAATCAATTTTTTAACAAATTGATTAATTTACACTGTTACATTTCAGGGAGCAGGTTTGAATGCAGGATTTGCTCGCTCGATTGGCATTGCATTAGATGTTAGACGTCGTAATAAATCTGTAGAATCTTTACAACAGAATATACAAAGATTAAAGGAATACAGATCTAAATTGATCTTGTTCCCAAGAGGTGGAAAGAAATTGCATAAGGGTGAAGCAACTGAAGAGGAATGCAAGGTAAAAATATAGTGAAACTTTTGTTTCACATATAATTATGCATTATTTGGCACCCTACTAGGATTCATTTGCATAACTTACAATTTTATCAGGTGGCAAATATGACCATCCTCTTATAGGGTTTTAGTTTTTTTTTTTTTGTCACTTGTCTTGTTAGCACATAGTATTTATAATGTTATGTATGTGTTTTCAAGTGGTTTAG